CACTAGACCGTAAAATGGACTTAATTTGCAAGTTTGACTACAGGAGGGATGCATCTCTGAGGAAATCCTGTTGTGGGAGGGCAGATGGGCTAATTGTGGTACATGCATATTCCTCTTAATATCTAGTCTGACTCTAGCCTTTAGGTGATGGCCAGAGCAATGAGGCTCAGCAAGGCTGTCTCCAAGACTGCTTATGTTCTCAGTGTACAGAGAGGGTAGAGAGAGAAGAGAAAGAAATCTGCAGTAACATTATGGCACAGGTCAGGAAAAGTCAGATTTGCACTGCTTTAAAATTGTGGTACATGCATATTCCTCTTAATATCTAGTCTGACTCTAGCCTTTAGGTGATGGCCAGAGCAATGAGGCTCAGCAAGGCTGTCTCCAAGACTGCTTATGTTCTCAGTGTACAGAGAGGGTAGAGAGAGAAGAGAAAGAAATCTGCAGTAACATTATGGCACAGGTCAGGAAAAGTCAGATTTGCACTGCTTTAAAACATCCAGTCAAACTATTTGGGGGGGGGTCCTTNGGGGGGGGGGGGTTCCTTCATGTTTGCTTTGTGATGGGTTGTGCGGCACGGAGGCTAACCCAAAGGGAAGACATCATAGGGAATTCAACCCCTTGGGCAAGTTGCTTTGCTGAAATGCAACTCCCAGATTCCTTCCATCAGCATAGCCAGTGATAATACATGATTAGGGTGACTATGCAGTCAACCAATCAACTTTTCCAAGCTATGCCCTTAGAAGCTGGTGGAGCATTCATGATTAGGACATTAATTACAACCCATATAACCCTATGAACATGGTTATAATTCACTCCATGTGTGAGGGAGAAGATCGTGGAATTAAATATCAAAAGGTGCAATAAAGCGAATCCAATCTCCTATAGAGACAATGGACAAGAAATACGCTTCCAGAATTTAGAAAACTAGAATATCAGGAAGAATTTTCCTAGTTTTTTTTTTTTTTCATGAGATGCTGGTGCTCCTAAAGCCAACTACACCAGAGCACAGAGTGCTGTCCTCTGAAGATGCCGGCCACAGAGATTGGTGAAACGTTAGGAAGAACAACCTTCAGAACACGGCCAGAGAGCCCGAAAAACCCACAACAACCATTCCCTTTTATTATTATTTTTTACCCCAAAGTATATTCAGTCATATGACTCCCCTGCTTATATAACTTATCAGTGGGATATATACATGACCATTTATTTTTCCTTGAGCAGTTGATGTAGTGAGTGTTCTTTAGCTGGGACTAGCAATTCAGCTTTGGACCAGTCTCAAGCAGTGCCATGTAGAAAATTCTGTAGCACATACGGTAACTTTGCTAAATATGTAAACCAGGGCAGTCACTGTTCTATTGCCAAAAAGGAAGATGGACATAACCAAGAAGAATGGAGGACAGGTGCCATCTGCATTATTTTCTCTGCAGCTTACTAAAAGTGATCAAAGTCTCTTGCTTTCCCTACTTGGCCAGGGAAACTCACTGTAGAAACGTTGTTGGGGTGCCCACTTAAAACAAAGTACATTTGTCCTCCTTTTTCATGATGCATGTACTTCATTTTGCAGTTATTACACAAGGGGGGGCACTGTTGTTTTGGCCCCTGAAATCCCAAGGAATGGAAAGCTACTGACTTGGCAGCCCTGTGTGGGAATTGTGACCCAAAACATCTGAAAGGTTCCATGTTGCTGATCATTGTATTATTTAGGAATGGGGGCTCAAGTTGTGGGACTCACGGTCGAGTTGGACTTGGAGTCAACTCTGGGTTTTTTCCCCAATGACTTGGACTTGTGATTCAGACACATGTTCCAAGTTGTGTTTCTGAGTCCCTATTCTTTTAATGAAGGGCACTGTAAACACAGAAGTAGTTTTGCAACACTCAGTAGAAGATTCTGGAGAGGCAAGCCAACAACAGCAAAGGACAGATGGGATCAACAGTGGGTGGTTCACAGGCCTCAGACCTCCACAGCCATACCCCAAACAGAACCCACACACCTTCCCTTTTTTTTCTGGGGGAAAAGATTGTTTTTAATAGGGAGGGACACTCAGACTTGGGATTTGGACCCAAGAGTTGCCAACATACCTGGTATTGTATTCTCAAAGGCTTTCATGGCCAGGATCCAATGGTTGTCGTAGGTTTTTCGGGCTCTTTGGCCAATTCCCCCACACTACACCAGAACACAGACAGAGTTCTAACTCCTCTTCTCTGAAGATGCCGGCCACAGAGACTGGCGAAACGTTAGGAAGCAAAAACTCCAGAACACAGCCAAACATCCCAAAATACCTGCAACAACCATACTTGGTATTATTATACAGATTATTCCCTTGAGTGCAGAAGTGACTTAACAAGCTGTTTTTAGAATATGGGTGTGAGATGTGGAAATTGTTAGATTCTGTAGTACAGATTTCTAAATATGTACTGATTTCCTACTTTTTGACATGTAGTGTGGCTGGCTGCACTGTTTTCTTTATCTATTATTGTTTGTTTCAAACAATTGTTTTGACTCAGCACCAGTTCAATCAATTCGTGAGAATAGTAGTAATTTAATAAAATTAATCAAGCCCTATTAATCAGAAAAGTCATTATGGTTTGATTGTTTCTCACAATTCTAGCATATCTGAAAAGCTATATACAGTACATGACAGATTCCATATTTATATTATACAGACTCACTGCCACACTACTTTCCTACAATCAGTTTACATTCATTGCAATTATATTGCATCTCTTTACTGCAGCACCTATGTTTTTTTGATAAGTTAAAGTACAACTAAGATTAATTAGAAAAATTAATCATCTCCAGATAGATAAATGTCAGCTTAAAGAACCTTTTCTCAATGATTCAGTTATGCACACCCTTCTTCAAATTTGCATTTCAGACTTATATTAATATCTGTTTTGTAGCTCCTCTACAAGCCATTTGTCAAAACACAAATCCAGGAAACCAACAGCAATTATTACTCTGACAGTCATTGCACTTTATAAATATCATTGTGACAGAATGACTAAATCATAATATACCTGTGGGTGATTTTTTCAATTTCATTATTTCCCATGAGCATTCCTTTCAAAAGGAGATAAAGAAATCTCCTCAGGCTTTTTGGGCCCACAATTCAGACCTTTTCAATCTTTTAAACAAAAACCATTGCCAAATCCAAAAGTTCCAAGAGACAGGCCGATGCCAGATTTGTCTTGAATGAAAATAGTATTATTCTAAAAGGCTGTGGGGGAAAGGGGGGGTTCCAACTTCCTTGGGTGCATTGTAGAGCTTCTCCAGCTTATTGCCAACTTTACTGAATGATGGTAATTGCATTCTGAAAAAAACAGTTTGAGGGGAACTGTGGTCTCGCACATTTGGAAGGAAATACATCTGGGAAAGCTGGACTAAGATGTGCTGCAATCAAATTAAAACAGCAGCAACAACAATGACAAAAAGGAGGAAAAGTGTAACTGTCACTCAATATCTAGGCTCAAACTGCATAATACAGTTAGTGTATAATTAGAAGCAGAGTTCTCTTGAAAAGCAAAATATAGCTTTTTAACCTAGCTCAAGCTTTTTCCATTTGCATTTTGAAAATTAGCTCTTTTTGTGACTGGTCATTGGGATGTCAACACAAACTTCATTGTCAAGCTTGACTGTCCAGAGAAAGGGAATTACAAACTTGTAGGGCAAGCATAGTAGCAGGAAATACACATTTCCTTTATTTTGTTATTTAAATCCAGGCAGATTTGGGATAGTCTTATAGTTTGCTTCTCAGTTATGACTATACATTATAGATGTAAAAAGGGAAGAAATTACCAGTGTATGCACTGATTTGAGTGTCTCATTATAAGTATGTTATAAAAGACAATCAGTTGCGGCAAAAATGGCAACTGCATTTCAACTTTCTCTCCGCCCCAACTCGAATACAGTACAAGTCACCTTGACATCACTGGGGTGTGAATCTCATTGAGTCATCAAAGCAGAAGTGATCCTAAAAGTAATCTAGCCTAACCTGTTGTTCAATACAAGAGCCATAGTCCAGGTTGCAGAAACAACATCCCTCATAGACATGGGTACAAATCCTGTTGTTGCAGAAACAACATCCCTCATAGACATGGGCACAAATCCTCGCAAGACGAATTTAATTTGTTTAATGTCATCTTGCAAACGCCTCGCAAGACGAATTTAATTTGTTCCGCTGTTAATGTCACCTTGCAAACAATTTGTCTTGCAAAACGTGTTTTCCCATAGGAATGCTTTGAAATCTAATTAATGCGTTCCTATGGGCAAAAAAAGTCAGAACAAAATCAAATTTGGTTTACAAAGAGTTTATTAAGTGCTCTTTAAAGCCATATATATTGTGCAGCTGATTTCAAAAATTGCAATCAAAAAACTAACTTTTTAAACATCATAGAAAAACATTTAAAAATCAGCAAACATGAGGCAGGAACAAAAAACAGAAAACATTTGTCTTGTGAAGCATGGACATAGGAACATCTGTCTTGTGAGTCATCAACCCCATCACCAAAAACATTTGTCTTGCGAGTTTTTCATCCCGTGAGGCATTTGTCTTGTGAGGCACCACTGTACTTGCATAACTTGCAAGCAGTTCATCAGACACACTCACACAACTAGTTGCATAATCAGCTGTACAGTCAGTTGTGCAACCAGACATGCAATGCAGACAGCCAGAGTGCAACTCCCTGTTTTGCTAGGATTTCAGCCAGCCTCTCTTTAACTGTCTCCATGGGAGGAGACGGCCCAATACCCCTCAAAGCACATTGTCACCGTAGCCCTACCTAATATTTATAATGTTCCTCTTTCGGTATCCACTTTGGATTATTCTTCACTTCGATATCTTGAAAGAGAAAGTCGTGCTTGGAAAAATAAATGATTTTCTAATTTATACATGAGATACTTTCTTGTTCACTTAGTGGTGGATGAGCAGAGGATTATATTTTCATTTTAACTCTCAGTTTTGTGTTTGCCATAACTGCTATTTTCAACTGTCTGATCCTAGATGGAGCAAACCCATCAGAAAAAGAACCTGAGCCCCCTCAGGCTGCCCAATCAGCAGAACCTGCTGGGGCAACAACAAAGGAAGAGGTGCCTCCAGGGAAGGAGAAGGAAGAGACAGCAGAGTGAGTATCATTCAGTATTGTTTATTATGATTATGATTATGATTATGATTATGATTATGATTATGATTATGATTATGATTATGATTATGATTATGATTATGATTATGATTATGATTATGATTATGATTATGATTATGATTATGATTATGATTATGATTATGATTATGATTATGATTATGATTATGATTATGATTATGATTATGATTATGATTATGATTATGATTATGATTATGATTATGATTATGATTATGATTATGATTATGATTATGATTATGATTGATGATGGTGAAAAAGCAGTGATTTATACTTTGTGGAACCAATCAGATTAACAAAACTACTATTCTCTTGAGTGGAAACAAATATCAAAAATAAAGAAAAGCTAATAAATATTAATTCTCCACTATTATTAATTCTTTTAAAACCTGTGAAAGATATGTTGTGAAATAAAGAGCACCCTAGGCAGGGTAAAAGGGACGCGGTGGTGCATGTGGGTTAAACCACAGAAGCCTCTGCACTGCAAAGTCGGGAGACCGGCAGTTGGAAGATCACTTATCCCAGCTCCTGCCAACCTAGCAGTTTGAACCTAGCAGTTTGAAATGTAAAAATGGCAGTATATAAATAGATACCACCACGGTGGGAAGATAACAGCATTCCATGTCTAGTCGCACTGGCCACGTGACCATGGAAACTGTCTATGGA